AAGGTCTTGGGGTTAAACCTGTTGGGGTCCAGTCCATCCAGCTCCTCCCACACCTCCTTCAACTGGGCTTGGCTGCCCTGTGGAAGGGAGAGCCAGGAGCTCATGAGCAAGAAGTCTGCATGCCATGGGATAAAACCAAATATCCCTTTACCCCCATCCAACAAACATCATCTCCCTCAAGCAAGAAAACTAAGAAAACTACAACTCCCAGCAGCCCCTTGGGCAGCCAGGTACAGTAACAGGAAGTTTTTGCCTCAAGGGCCCCTGGGAATTGTAGTTCTTTAACTGCTTTCTTGTCGGGTTTGAACTGGATGTGGTAGGGAGTGGATGGGCACAAATGGGGTGCTCACAGGCACATTGACTTTGGGATGCTCGCGGTGCCGGCGCTGTTGCTCTTCCAGCTTCCTCTCTGCCTCCTTTCTCTGCTCCTCTCCCAGTGACTCCAGATAACGCCGCCTCTCATGTTCCTTAAGCATCTCGTAGCGCTTGAATTCTTCATGATGGGCTGCGTCGTACTGGGCAAGGTCCCGGGTGGCCTGGGGAAAGGCACAGGGTCATTCCCTTCTGCCCCCTCTGCCCAGCCCCCAATTCCAGCCTGTAAATGGCAGGCCCTTGGCCCTGAACCTGGCTGAGGGCAGCCCCAGCCTCTACCTGTCTTACGTCTTGTGTCCTGATGTCCCTTTTTTTTTTTTTTTGAGAGCGAGTCTTGCTCTGTTGCCCAGGCTGGAGTGCAGTGGCATGATCTCTGTTCACTGCCTCACTTCAACCTCCGCCTCCCAGGTTCAAGTGATTCTCCCGCCTCGGCCTTTCAAGCAGCTGGGATTATAGGCATGTGTCACCAGGCCCGGCTGATTTTTGTATTTTTAGTAGAAACAAGGTTTCACCATGTTGGCCAGGCTGGTCTCAAACTCCTGACCTCAGGTGATCCGCCCACCTCAGCCTCCCAAAGTGCTGGGATTATAAGCGTGAGCCACCGCGCACAGCCTGATGTCACCCTTTTTGGTTTCCATGACTACTCCTGCCCCATAACACGCTTTCTTCTCTTTATTCAAAACAGATTAGGACGGTTATACGACAGCAACTTCAACCCACCTCTTTCAAGTCCTCCACAATCTCCAGATCTTGGAGGAATAAGTACATAAGAACAACATACATGGTGAACTTAATATGTTACGTATTTCGGGTACAGCTAGGCGGCCAAGAACATGAGGTCAGGCTAGGAGAGGTGGGTCACGCCTGGAATCCTAGCACTTTGGGAGGCTGGGTTGGGAGGATCACTTGAGCCCAGGAGTTCAAGACTAACTCACGTAACATAGCGAGACCTTGTAATTAGTTAAGATGATGGGGCTGGGCGCAGTGGCTCACGCCTGTAATCCCAGCCAGCACTTTGGGAGGCCAAGGCGGGTGGATCACGAGGTCAGGAGCTCAAGACCATCCTGGCAAACACGGTGAAACCCCGTCTCTACTAAAAATACAAAAAATTAGCCGGGCCTGGTAGTGGGCACCTGTAGTTCCAGCCACTCGGCTGAGGCAGGAGAATGGCGTGAACCCGAGGCGGAGCTTGCAGTGAGCAGAGATCGCGCCACTGCACTCCCGCCTGGGCGACAGAGCAAGACTCCGTCTCAAAAAAAAAAAAAAAAAA